ATGCTCACCTGTATATGCTAGGAAATTTGGAGGACAGCAGCCTGGTCAACTAAATAAAAGAGATCCATATTTGTTCCCATTCCCAAGAAAGATGATGTAATAGAATGTGGAAATTATTGAACAATAGCATTACTATCACATGCAAGCAAAATACTGCTGAAGATCATTCAAAAATGGCTAGAATACACAGAGAATTGCCAGAAGTTCAAGCAGGATTTAGAAGAGGCCATGGCCCCAGGGATATCATTGCTGATGTCAGATGGCTCCTGGCTGAAAGCAGAGAATACCAGATGAATGTCTTGTTATGTATCGTTGAGTTGACTACAACTCATAGAGAGACCCCTGTTATTGTGTCAATCCATCTCATCCAGGGTCTTCCTCTCCTGTGCTGTCCCTCCACCCTTCCAAGCATGATGTATTTCTCCAAGGACTGGTCCTAGCATGTGCTCTAAGTATGTGTGACAGAGCTTCAAAATCCTAGCCTCCAAAGAGCATCTTGGTTTCACCCTCTCCAGGACAGATCTGTTAGTTCTCTTGACATTGCACAGTATGTTTGATATTCTTCTCCAGAACAACAAATCAAATGCATCAATTCTTCTTCTGTCATTTTTGGTCATTGTCCAGCTTTCCAGCACATAGCAAAGTGATTGCGAAGACCATGGCCTGAATCAGATGCACCTTAGTCCCTAGACTGACACTGTTGCTCTTCAGCACTCTGAAGAGGTCTCTGACTGCAGATCTTCCTAATGCAATTCTTCTGTTTTATTGACATGCAAAGGCATTTGTCTATGAGGATCATAACAAACAATGGCTCACATTGAGAAGAATAAGAATCCCAGATATAGCAGTGGATCTCTTACCAATGCATGAAACTGTACTGTTTCCAAATGATATCCACATTCAAGATCCTACTTTTCCCTTTGAATAAGTCTACAAGATAGCCTGGTGATATATCCTTATTCCTGATGTTCAAATGAGAAGAGAAGGAAAAAACAAATGTGTGACTCCTACTGAACACCTCTACCAGTACCCCCAAAAATCAAGTCCATTCCCTGTGGCCTCAATCCAGTGGTTTTCTTCAGCTTCAATCCCACTGGACTATGCCATGTTCCCTCAATTACCGGCTGCTTTCCCAGAGTCGCACCTGTGTATCTTTTCAGCCTGGAATGCCCTTCCTCAGTTGTCTTCCACTTGGTGTGTTCCTAATCTTCCTTCTAGGCCATGCTTAGGCATCACATCCACTATAAAGTCTCCTAGGTCTCCTGTGATGTAGTGTAATATGGTGAACTATCATGGTTAACTGTCCAGACTTCACAGTCTGCATGCCAGGCATGCACCCTTCAACAAGCTGCTCCTAAACCTTAGCACAGAACAGATGTGCACCAGACACACAGTGCCTGGTCCAGAGTAAATGTTCAATAGATGCTGTGTGCACCTGAATACTTGGCTTTTTACTTCTTCCTCTGCTACACACTCAGACAAATTTATCTTAGCTTCAGTTTCTTTCTCCGGTAAAACAAAGCTCTAGGGCCCCCTTGATGGGGTTTCTGGGATGATAAGCCTCTGGGCCCTTTACTGGGAAGAGCTGCAGGATTCAGAAGAATCCCAGGGGTGAGCAGTGGCTGGGAACCCACCTGTCTCCCTCCCGCTGCGCCTAACCACAATACCACCAAACCCTGCCGAGAACTGGATGTTTTGCAGACATCCAAACCACGGGGCAGACCTGGTGTGAACAAACAAGAACTCGAGCTCCCCATCTCTCCTGCTTGTCCATAGCCTCTCCCCAGCAATGTGTTTGAACAGGCTTAGGGCTCCCTTGGTCCAGAAACCTATTATCATCTGAGCACTGGAAAGTGTTCAGAGCTTTTCATACTCCTTACGGACCCCTGCCCCCTTATGACTATTATCATCAGCTAGGACAAGGGATCAGGAAGTCCATCTTTAGTACCCTGGGCTCTCGCGTGTTCCTCAGCTTCCACACTACACGCCTAGGAGGAGGCACTGAGTCTGTGGATCCTACTTGTAAATAAGCCTTTACCACCCCTCATCGCTGCCTATCTGATCTGGACCCTTGGCATCTCTTTTGTGGACTATTGTCATTTAGGTCACTAAAGCTCCAGCCAGCTTTTTACCCTTGCTGATACTCACTGACATTAGCATAAAGTGGGGCATTTTATGTCCTCCAAGATCCGGCTGCTGCTCACTTCTCTCACTTAGTCTCTCACTATAGCTTTACCTCCATCTCACGCTTCGCGGAGCTCTGGTGGCCTAATGGCAAGAAGCTGCCCTGTACTCTTGAAGGCACACGGTTCGTATCCACCAACTGTTCCACAGAAGAAGAATGGAGCAATCTCCTCCTGTGCAATTTACTGCCTCTGAAAACCCGCTGCAGGGTCAGCTGTGAATTGGTTCTCACTTGATGGCACACAAAGACACACGCAGGCCATCCTGGGCTGCTGGACATTCTCTGTCCTTCAGCACTGTCGCCTTTTACATGACTCTTTCAGGCTGGGATATCTTTCTCCATCTCTACTGCCAGAAATTGTCCTAGCCCTCTTGAGCCAACTATGACACGCCCTTTCCTGAGCAGGAAGATTGCTCTGGTTCAGTAAAGATGGCTCCCACAGTTCCTTGCTTTTGCTGGGGTTGAAGAGAAACTCAGCAAAAGACAGAGCCAAAGGAACAATAAGAGTAGGGAGGTCACAAGTCTGACAGGGCCCTAGCTCCTAGAAGCCACCCCCTCCCCTGATCCCCTCCAGCCCTACATCTCTTGCTGTCCAGCAGATCCCAACATGGTATTGGGGTCTCTCTTCCATGATCCCAAGCTCCTTTTCCTGGTCCTCAGTGTCTTCACTTCTGGGTGCCCAGAACCTGGTACACAGCTCAGCCCAGCGCAGGTTCACAGAGACTGCCCGAGTGAGTGAATGAATGAATGACGTGATTGGTGAATGAATGAATGAGGTGATGAATGAGCCAGAACCTGACAGTCTCTCAAATGCTCATTTGACATTAAAAGTTCACAAGAAAAAAAAAAAGAAAAAAAAAATAAAAGTTCACAAGAGACAGATACATATAACGGATTTTATTTATTTCTAGTGTTATTGTTGTTGTTAAATAATATCAAGTGGATTCTGACTCATAACAGTAGAATTGCCTCATAAGGTTTTCTAGGGTATACAGGCCATGGTCTTCATAATTACTTGCTATGCATCAGAAAGCTGGACAATGACCAGGGATGATAGAAGGAGAACTGATGCCTTTGAGCTGTGGTGCTGGAGAAGAGTGTTGAATATACCATGGACTGCTGGGAGAACAAACAGGTTCATCCTAGAGAGGGTGAAACCAAGCTACTCCTTGGAGGCAAAGATTCTGACATACTTTGGGCATGTCGCAAGGAGGGACCAGTCCTTGGAGAGGGACATCATGCTTGGGAGAGTGGAGAAACAGTGAAAGAGAGGAAGACCCTTGATGAGATGATTGATTCACTGACTGCAGGGTAGATGTGTCAGAGACAATACAGTTGGCTGAGCAGGGTTCAGAGCTGTTGTACATAGGGTTGCTATGAGTCGCAGGTGACTTAACAGCACATAACAACAACAACAAATTTTTATGGGATTATATCAAGTCTTTCTTCATATGGTGTCTGGGTGCCTTCAAGCTTGCAACTTTTTGGTTAGTATCCAAGCTCTTAACCAAGCATTTAACCATTGGACCACTGAGGTTTCTTCATTTCAGATTGAAAGGTAGCTGCTTCCCTCAGCAAGACAGATATGCAACTAACCTTTTAAAAATGCCCAATGCAACTGACATTGGGGATGGGGGTAAACTAAGAGGGGATAAATAATGTATACACATTGAAATAGATGAGGGAGAGAACTGTTTAGGAGGGATATATGATTAGGTATTATTTTCATAACAAGGGTCCAGAATGAAAGCTGCATAGTGGAGTGGACTGGAGGTGGGGGTGGCATATATAACAATGAAATAATTTTTTTTTTTTTTTACTTTTCAAAGAGAAAAGCAACCTGGGGCGGGGAAGAGTGGGCAGGGAGGAAAGTGTACAACAATGAATGAATGGAAATCCAAAATCTCTGCAAACTTTCATTAAAAAGTAAAGAAAGAAAATGCCCCATGCAGACTTTGCCCTTGCCATAGTATCAACACTCTGGTCGGAAAGGCTTTAGAAGGGGACATCATAGTTTTGAGTCTCTGTTCCAGCGAGGATTTAGCTTATGATCCTTCGCAAGTCATCCTCCTGCTCAGTTTCCTCTTCTCTTTAAAGGAGATGTCCACCCTTACCTGCCTGAGGGTGTGAAGCTGGAGTGGTGCGCCAAAAACCAGTCCATTCCCTCAGGTTCCCAAACAGACTTCCTGCTTCTAGAAACTTGGGCTGTTTATCTGAGCAGTGGGTCATGGGCAGGAGTGGGTGGGAAGGATGGCGAACGGACAGAGGGACAGTGAGGAGCTCCGTGTCTCCTGGGATGGCTCCCCACCTACCTGGCAGTTACTCCGCCTCGTGAATGAGCTCACAAGATCTGCCACCAGGGCCTGGTAAGATTACTGTACTGAGAAAAATGCCGAGGCTGTAGCCATGTCTCACATGACTTAATAGTAATGTCTGCTTTAGGTACCAGAGGGGGAAAGTTGACACTACTGTGTATTTAAATCGCACTTATAGCTGCATCCCAAAGGGTGGCTGAGTTAGGACCTGCGAGCCTGAGAGGGAGTAGATTTCCTCTGTGCAGAAACAGCTCTAAATTACATGAAAGCCTTCATCTTCGTTGGGAGCTACTCAACATGGTAGGAACTACAGGTATCCAATTAGAGACTGAACAACTTGAAAACAGGAGAGGCAATTTGAATTCAGAGAAGGTACACAGATCACACTACATGCTCTCAGAGGGTACTTTATCCCCTCGTGCTCTAAGACTCTAGGTGTCTCTGGATGATCATCAATGTCATTCCATATGACCTTCTCCCAGCCTGGCAGTGTGCAGGGTTCAGGGTCCAGGGCAGGAGTTCTCATCGGACCAGTCAGAGCAGTGCTGCACGCCGTCCCGGCAGAGACTTCGAGGGATGCAGTCGCAATACATGAAGACAGTTGGAGTGCATCGCCACCACCCAGGATCACAAGATGGGCATACGGTCACTGGGGAAACAGAAGCTTGCTGTGTCCTGGGATGCTGTATTCCCAGACCAGACCAGGGATGCTCTGTTCACCAGAGCACTGCCTATCTCCAGACCCTGCCACAACGTCACACAGCCCCAACCCATCCAACTGTAGTCCTTATTTCTCAGTGGCAGAAAGAATCTAGTCTCCTCAATTCACAGGCTGTGCAAACCCAGAAACGTCTCTCTTCCTTTCTATGCCTTCTTTCCCTCCTGCTTTCAAGGTCGTTAGTAAATAAAGGGACACAAGCAAAGTGCCCGGCATGTGTTCAAAGCTCAAATATTCATGTGTGCATATTTTTTTTTAAAAAAAATGAGTCAATGAAAGGACTCCAGACTTGGAGTCAGGACAGTTTATTCCTGTAACTCATCGTATTAAGTTCCTTCTCTTCTCTGAGCCTCAGTCTACCTACTATAAATTGGGGGCAGTTTCCTGTCTTGATTCCCTCTCAGAGTCATTGAGAAGTGTGGAAGAGAGGAGCAAGATTGAGGTAAAAACCCCAGCTGGGCCATATACTTTATGTGTGGTCATTCTCTGGCCCCTATCCCTATCATGTGCTGTTGAAGGAACATTGCCCCCCAAAGAAGAATGAACCCCCAGAGAAGGCAACTGGAGTGGTAATGAGCACCCTGATACTGGAGGCATTTCACCAGGTGAAATCCTCTTCCAGGGACGCAAGGAGGAACCTTGTAGATTCCCTGAGCAGACTCTACCCTCTGCCTGACCACCTTCCCCAGCACAACCTGTGCACAGACCCCCATGTGGCCTCAGACACCCACCTGGCCACAGACACCCCCCCCACCTGGCCACAGTCCCCCACCTGGCTGCAGATGCCCACCTGGGCTCAGCTCATCTGAGCAGTCCCCACAGTTGTTGATCCCATCACACCTCTGGTCTGAGTAAATCCAGGAGGTAGGGTTTCCACAGTGGGCCACGAGGAAGATGGGAAGGCTCTCGGGCACCTTTCCTACAAGGGGACAGCGGAGGCAGGAGGAAGTGCACATCTGGCCACAAGTGTTTCAGGGAAACCTGGAGGTGGATTGCCCTGTTATGCTGGCAGCTGCCAAGCCCTGGGTTACCTCCCATTCACCCTGAGATGGCACAGGGAGAATGTTTCCTTGGGGGAAGTGGCTGAGGTGAGGGAAGGGAAGTGTTCTTTCCCTGTTCACTTGTACAACAAGCTTAGAGAAGTGTCCTATCCTTTCTCGTCCCCTTCCATTATATATTCCCACCAAGACTACATGCATTGCCCTCCTTCCAGACATGCCTTCCTTGACACCAATCCAGAGCCACTCTACCTGCAAGTTGAGGAAGGCTCCTCCAACTGGAACATGACAAGCGCAAAGGGAAAGCCTTGCACTTGAGCCTCAGATCTCTGGGGCCCAGGCTCACACACCATGTGGGAGGGAAGCTGAAAGTGGCTTCTCTGTTAGAGAGCAGTGTGAGCAGACCCCAAGCACTGCTATCGTATCAGTTTCTACTCATGGTTTCCCTCCATCAGGTTTCCAGAGCTAAATATTTACATGAAATTGTCTCTCTTTCTCCCATGGAGCTGCTGGTAGATTTGAACTGTCAGCCTTTTAATTAGCAGCCCAATATGTTACACACTACACCACCAGAGTTCAAACTCAGGCCACATCATCATTGTTATTGTTGTGTGCCATCAGTCAGAACTGACTCAGCTGACTCTCCAGCGGGTTTTCATAGACAGTAAATCACATTGGAGGTTACTGTCCATCTCTCTCCATGGGTCAGCTGGTGAATTAAAACTATGTGTCTTTTTGGGTTGGCAAACCACTCTTTATCCACTAAGGCTACCTACAGAGCTCCCTATAGGCCACATCACTAGGGGTATAAAAGCTAGACTAGGGAGGGAACAAGACTTTGTTCCTCAGATTGGCCCAGACCCAGCCAGAATTGTCTTGACTGCTTCTGGAGTCTGTGAGAGGAAAGGGACACCGTAGTTGCTATTGGTCTAGAAAAGACTTTGAACCAGTTCAGCCATGGCCAATGAAGCGAAAGCAGAACAGACTTGAGTTTTTTTCCATTTGAGTGATCTGGCATGCTAATGAGATAGGTCAAAGACCTGGAATAAGAGACTCACAGCAGCAGAGTGAGGTCTTTTCCAGGAGGCCAAAGTGGGTGCCTGGATTATTTCCAGGACTGTGGAGAGGGACGCACACTCAGAGCAGTGTTTGAGCCCTTATCTGCAACTCCACTAATCAAGAGATCTGGCTGCTAGCGGCCCTCGGGTTTCTAGGAAGGAGGCGAGGTTTCCAGCAGGCCTTCAGTTTTCCCTGTTCTGTTTTACATGTGTGTTCACTTACATTTCAAAAATTTGAGTCCATTCTTGTGCTACTTCATTGACCATGGCTGAAGTGGGCTGACTGGTGCTGGGGAAGGCTAGTAAAGTGAGAAAACCAGAAACAGGATCCAAGTGGGGCGGGTAACACTGCGAATGTGATGAGGCTTAGAGGAGGGGATATTCATGGGGCTAAGAGAGCATACAGGGTCGGCAACACGGGGTGGGGGGGGATGGGAGGATGGGGCAGGGAGCAGACTGAGGGGAACAGATGACGCTGGGAGGCAGCTCTAATCTCGGCACAATATTCTGTTCCCACCTACCATGTTGAGTAGAGCCTCTAATATTGGCATCCATGTTTCCCGCTCACCAGATTGTCTCCCTCCTCCGGGCCCAGGCACTGTTGGTGCTGTTACCTGTTCCACGTAGCCAGGACGCCTTTCCCCTGAGAACTACCACGTCTCTGAGGTCTGGGGCCAGGTCTCTCCACTCCTTCACTCACTCATTTAGCAAACTGCTGTCTGGAGCCCTTCCTCTCTGCAGGCACTAGGACCCTGAGATCAACCAGGTAGGTAGTACAGTCTCTAGGGAGCTGTGCTTGTTACCCATAGGTGTGGCCTCTCCACAGGCCAGCAGCTGCTCCAAGGGAGAAAGACGGGCAATCTCCTCTTTCTCCCTCCTCCAGTGTGATCTCTAGACTAGGAAGGGCAATCTCCTCTTTCTCCCTCCTCCAGTGTGATCTCTAGACTAGGAAACCTGACCGAGGGTCAGCTGTGAGTCATGTGGTCTGCCTTGACAGTGCTGAGAGAGTTGAGGCCCCCAGAGGAGCTCAGTCAGATGGGAATGAGAGACCTATCAATCCAGCTATGACAACCGGTGTGACCAGGGCTGGGGCCATGAGAGCTCAGCAGAGGGAGCTTCACCTGTTCAAGTCAGGAAGGGCTTCCGGGGAGGCAGTGCTTGAACTTGGCTTTAAGGGTGCACGCAGGGCCTCCAGCATGGAGTCTCCAGTCTGTGGAGCAGGAAGGCATGTGGCCGCGCATGTGTGTCTGTGACTGAGAGGGGGCTGGGGTGGGCCTTCCTGGCTGAGGGCACCATTAAAGCAAAGACATGGTGAAGGGAAGGTGCCCCATACATTCAGAGACAGATTTCTGCATGACAGCAAGGGGAGTAGGAGTTGAATGCAGGCCTTAAAGGGGCTCAGGTGGGGTTAGGGGGAGCACGAACTCACGACACAGGTTTTCATCCTCATCTTCACCGAAGACACAGGTGCGGACGCCGTCACACACCCTGCTGGCCGGGATGCAGGTCCTCCGGTCACGGCACAGGAAGCCTGTCCTGTTAGTAGGTGTCACACAGGCCTGGGCTCCTGAGTGAATAGGAGAAGACCCTGGAGGGCATCGCCTGGGTCGGGACACTTCCATCAGCTTGCTCAGGACCTCTCACCCGAGCCTGGCCCTGACTGACCTGAGGAACCAGAGACGAGGTGTAAGCCTCACTCTACAACTTGTCAGATGAGTTACCTTGGGCAGATGTCCTGACCTTTCTGCAGGGATCACGGCACACACCTCGTGGGACTGTTGGATTAAATAAAGTTTCTCTGAGAATGAGTCGAGGGCTACGGTGTGCAGAGTGGTGCCCTCTTTCATGAAAAATGTGCTTACATTCTCACGGGAAGTTTCTGAGGAGGATGTTCAGTCAATGCGTGGTTTTTATGGTGAAACCTCAGTTGTCAGATGAGGGTCTCAGAAGCTGTGCATTTGGACTGACTGGGAGATGCTGTGTCAGAATCCCTTACGGCTGGACACAGGCTGGAGGACACTGCCACACTTACATTTATTGTTCCCTCAATAACTCTGTCAGATGTCACCCTTAACCCCCTTTTATAGATCGGAAGGTGAAGTTTACAGAGTTGCCACAGGCACAGCTAATCGCCCCGGCCTGCTGACTCCAAGCTCTTGAGTCCAGACAGCCTCCCCAGTGTCCAGGTGGGCAGCTAGTGTGAAGAAGCTGGTCCTGATGAGAGTCTTTCACTCCACCTTTGTGGGTTGTGGAGGGATGCATACCCTTAGATTTACCCCAAAGAATTAAAAGGGGAAATGGTAGACGGGTGAGAGACCACCTTTGCCCTGCAGGCGGTGCTCATTCAGGCTGGTGATGGTGGCAGATCTGGGCATTTCTCAGCTAGTGTGAGGGCCAGCTCTCAGAGACTCACTTGTTGTCACACAGACACACACACGCCCATCAGATGTGCACGTGCATTCATGTGGACACACACATACGTAAGTTCACACAGACAGACATAAATCCGGACACAGGCATGTGAATGCAAATCCTCATGCTCTTGCCCTGGCAGATGTTAGTGTTGTTCTGTAACGCTGTTTCTGAAGACTGGTTTGCTCTTGCTCCACTAATTAAACCCTAAGTTCCCTTCAGGACTGGGTCAGAACCTTGTTGCAGCTCTCCACACCCACATCAACCTTGTCTTAAGAGTCCATCTGATTAATGTCTGTCTTGCTTTCCCAACTGTTAGCTCTGTGAGGGCAAGGATTGTTCACCACTGAAAACCAGGGGCTGTTTGTCACTAAAGATAATGTCTTGAGAGGAATCTGACACATTCTTGTCTTCTGTGTCAGGGGATGCACACACCACCTAGGGTGGCCTAGGGAATGGGACTGGGACTGTGGGAATGGGAGGTCTAAGGGTTATGGAGACCAAGACGAAGCTCTGAACTCAGTATGGGAATGAGAGAAGGCTTCTTGGAGTAGGTAACACCAGAGTTGGATTGTAAGCACGACCATAGTTCTTTCAGTAATGCATTTTACAGATGTGCAAATGAGGTTCTGAAACAGCACGTGTGCAAATGCCTGTGAATGAGTGGAAAGGAATTGTCCAAAAGTCACTCAGTGGAGACACTGGGTGGGCCAAGTATCCCCCATATCTTTGTCTCCCTTTACAATCTCCCCAGAGGACCTGGACCACTACTACCCCTTGACCACCCTGACCTGGTCTGCGTGACGGGAGTCCGAAGATGGCTACCAGGGTGAGGAGGGCCGCAAGAGCTGCCAGCAGGAGCAGAATGCAGGCTGAGAGGCAGGCGCCACGGCGAGAGCAGCAGAGGGGCGAAAGCCCTGCTGTGTGGGAGGGAAACAAGGTCAGGGGAGATGACGAAGTGTCCACAGGCCCACCAAGAGCCTGCAGGAAGCACTTCACATGCTAGGCTGGGCCAGGCAGGAAGGTGCTCCTGGAGGAGGAAGCTCCTTGGGCAAAGATGCTCTTTGCTTCTGTCCATGGGCCCGCGCCCCAGGGCTGGCTGCAGGCTGCTAAGTGCAGACTCCAGTGAGGGTCCCAGGAGTCTCTCTGTCCCACACTCCTCCTGTTTCTCTAGGAGATGCCACCGCAGAAGGCCGTGTGAGGCAGGCACCTCCTTCTCAAGGCCCTACCATGGAGGAGAAACAGCATCAGCCTTCTATAACTGCTCTTTTTCTTTTTAGAAAACAGTTTTTTAAAAATTTATACAGCATTAAATGGAAACTCAGAAAAGTTGCTTGGCTCCAGGTTGGCACCCCAGTGCAGAGCTGGATGCCAGTTTACATCTGTGTGACCTCAAAACTCCTGCCCTTTCCAAGCTTCCAGATGCCCAACCTGCACATTGGCAGCCAGTGTGAGGACTGTCCTAGGTATTTCATCGCTACAATAACCAAATGCATAGAGGACAAAGTTTATTAACTAACTGTTAATACGGGGACAGATGGGAGGGGCAGTGGGCGCTATTGCTTAAAGGGTACTGACTTTCTGTTTAAAAAAAGCAAACCAGGCCCAAACTCAAACTGAACCAAGCTCAAACTCATTGTTGAGCTGGAACTGACTCACGGGGGACCCTACAGCGGGTTCTGGAGGCTGCAGATTGCATGGGAGGAGATGGCCCATGTTTTTGTGGAGGAGCTGAGATGGATTTGAAATCACCAGAGATGTGGCCTTTGGCTTAGGAGCACATCTCCCTACAGACCACACCATGAGATGTGCCCGAGTTTCCTTCTGGTAAGGGGGAAGGGACTACTTTGGAAGTGGATAAAGGTGATTAGTGCACAACATGATGAATGTCATTCATGTCACCAAACTGTACACATAAAAATGTTGAAATGGTACATGTTTTATTATATATCTTCTTCTTCTTGTCCACTGTGACTCATAGCAATCCCATGCGACTGAGTAGAGTTTCCTAGGAGTACAAGGTTTCCTAGGAGAAGATTGGCAGGTCTTTCTCCCATGTTACTGCTGGATGGGTGTGGAAATCACCAACCGTTTCCTAGGAGAAGATTGGCAGGTCTTTCTCCCATGTTACTGCTGGATGGGTGTGGAAATCACCAACCTTTAACTTAACAGCCAAGCACTTTACCATTGTGTTGTTAATAACAACAGAGTCAAAACTAATCCAAATGGTTGGCAGGCCAGATAATAGCTGCACTGGCAGTGAAGGGAAAGAGCTGGAGGGGAAACTTCTAGGGGCTGGTGACACCAAGTTTTTCCCCTCTCTGTGGTGGTTGTTTTGTGCCTTCATGTTTATCCCAACTCATAGTGAACCTGTAAGATAGAATGGAATTGTCCTGTGGGATTTCCTAGGCTGCTCTCTTCAGGGGAGCAGAGCACTAGGTCTTTTCTCCTGTGCAGCTGCTAGTGGGTTCAAACTCCCGACGTCCCAGTTAACAACCTAGTGCTTAACCATTGCACCACTAGGTTGCCTTCCCTGGTGAAAATGCATCACTTACGACTTTTGCTCATTTTGTATGTGTTACACAAAGTTTTCATAGAGTTAACAGACCTGAAAGGGCAGCGGGGTGGTCAATTGGGGAAAGGGTTGTAAGCATGAGTGGGATTTCCACAGGCAGATGAGGAGAGGGTGCAAGAGTCCAGGCAGAGGGAAGAAAGTCCTGATGGATGAAATGAGAGGACAGCAGGTGGAGTGTTGATGAAGCCTGGGATGGGTGTGGGGACAATAATGGGAGTTGCAGTATTAATCGAAAACCAATCACTTCCATAACCCTAGTTGAGGGCTGCCTTGTTGTCAACAAACAGGACAAACTCTGGTAACCAGGAAGATGGCAGGAAGTCAGTAAAGGATTGGCAAACTGGTCAGACAAGAAACAAATATTCCTCAAATATTTGTACAGTGGGCAGTGTATAAGGTGGGGTCACAGAGAGACTCAAGGATACAGAGAACAGCATCGAGGTCCACTCCCAGGTGAAGTACTTCAAAGCCTGACAGGTCCTTAGGTGCCAGCCCCCTCCTGTGACCGACAGAGAAAAGGAGGCCCATCTGTTCTACAACCACCCCACCCTCAGCACGAACTGGAAACAAATACAGCATTGGCAATGGAAGACACTGGGACTTTGCAACTACACAAACCTCGATCCTTTCCCTTTTCCTGGCTGTATGACCGTAGCTAGGTAGCCCAACATCTCTGAGCCTCAGTTCTCCATAACAGAACCCTTCAAAGATAAATGGATGCCTTTACATTGTGAAGAATATTGAATCTGTCATGGACGACCAAAAGAACAAGCGAATCTCCCTTGGCAGAACGCTTCTTAGTAGGAGTGAGGATGTGTACTTTGGGCTCGTTGTCAAGAGAGGCTCAGTTCCTGGAGAAAGATGTCAATGTTGGTGAGCTAAAGAGGAGACCCTCAATGAGCCAGATGGCCGAAGTGGCTGCCCCAGGGGGCCAGCTGAGTACAGCAGAGATTGTGAAGACTGGGACCCGTGTTGTTCCACTGCACAGAAAGTTGCTGTGAGTTGACGTGATGACACCTAACCTCTTAGAGCTGTCTGTGTTCAGGGACCCAGACAGCGTCAGGCTCCGTACAAGGAACCAGATCCTTTCTATCTTCTTTATTAGTATTCTTTACCTCACTGTATTTGTTTCCTCTTTGATCTAATCTAGACCAAGATAGAGCACATAATAAATGCTCAATAAACAGTGTTTCTTCCTTCAGGTATTCCATGAAGGGAAAGAGAACTATCCTGGCCTCACAAGTAAGTCAGTGGCACATAATAAGTCTCGTCCTGGAAAGGGTTAAACCGGGTGGCTCCTTGGAGGCAAGGATTCTGAGGCTCTGTCTAACATACTTTGGACATGTTGTGAGGAGAGACGGTCCTTGGAGAGGGACATCATGCTTGGGAGGGTGGAGGGACAGCGCAGGAGGGGAAGACCCTCTATGAGATGGATTGATTCAGTGACTGGGATAATCGGGATGGGAGTGTCAGAGACAGTGCGATTGGCACAGGACAGAGCAGAGTTTAGGGCTGTTGTACATAGGGTCGCTATGAGTCGCAGGCGACTCGACGGCACATAACAACAACAACAACATGCACATGATCCCTCCCAACTTGTCCCTCAGAGGGTGAGGAGGATTGTCAGGCCACCTACTGAGTCAAGGATAAGTGTGAAACACTCACTGCTCTGCACCACGCATGAGCACTGTACATGGTGCAGAGCCTGTGAGGTGGGCAGCATGCAGCAGATGCTCAAGAAATGCTTCTGAGAGACTGAATAACCCTATTAAGCAAGTGGTTGTCAGCACAGCCAGCCTGTAATCTGGAAGCCAACAGTTACATGTGGGGTAGGGGGCTGTGGTCTGAAGGACAGTGGGAGCATTTTGTGCTTCAGTAGCCACCTGCCCAATCTGGGGGAGGCCCTCCCGGGAGCCCCCCCGCCCCCTCCCCCGGGGCACTGGTCCAGGCCCTCCTTCCATTACCTTTCCCTCCAGGGATAGCTTTGGTTTCGGTAACAACGTTGCCATTGACATCTCGCTGCCCGAGAAAACAGTGAAGGATGGGATCAGCACAGAAGACCAGAGTTTTTCAAAAGGGAAGACTGAGGCCCAGGGAGGAAGATTCTCTTGGTTTTGGTCACTGAGGGCCTCAGGTGGGATCTGCACACTCCAGCATTCTGAACTCCTCAAACTAATCATGCCTTGCTGTGCGTTTCCGTAACTTTGTCTCCACTGAGTCCCCTCTGCCTCGTCTATCTACAGTCATTCCCTAAACCAGCTCAGGAGGCTACTTCATGATGAGACTCTTCCTGATGCCCCCTCCCGTAGTGCCAAACCCCCCTCCGTTGGCCATCTGTGTGCTCTCGACCTCCTGCTAGCACCCCGCACCTGAGCTGTAGAACACATCCCTCTACTGGACCCCCTAAAGACTGGGAGTAAGCCTACAGGCAGGGTGGGGTCCCTCAGCGTCTCTGAGCGGGCCCAGCCTCAGTGACCCCCTCTCTCCACTATCCTCTCCTCACCCCAGGCTTACAGCCATCTCAGGGCAGAGCTTACCTGGGGGAAGATCCTGTTCATAGCTCAGGGTCCCAGCGCCAGTCCCTAGGGACTAGGAACAGCTGCAGTGGACTCAGCACAGGTCCCCTGCCTTGTTATCATGGGCAGGTGTCCGCCCTGTAGCCTCGGCTGCTTCTTGTTGGTGTTGCTGTTGTTAGGTAACATCAAGTTGACTCCTTGTGTACAATACAATGAAAGCCTGAAAGCCTGCGATCCTGGCCCTGGAGCAGGGAGCATCAGGCACGTCCCTCAGGTGCAGGCTCTATTGCAAACTGCTCCACAGGAGGTTGTACCAATCTGCCCTCCTACGACTTTACACCTGGGTAGGAGTTGATGTCTCCCACAGGGTCCCTTGAAATTGTCAGGCTGTCAGATGTCAGCCAATCCAATCGGTGTGAAACACTATCTGAATGTGGTTTATTTGTGTTGTTCTAGTTGTTCCTGCAGCTACCAGCAAGTGTTAATAAACATTTGAGCATATTTTACCACGTGCACAAACCTGAAATGTGTGCTATATGTAGTAATCCTTCCATAGGATGTGGGGATCATGATCATTTCCGTTTTACAGAGAAAACAGCATTGAGAAATGAAGTTAACATTAAGTTGCTTGTCCAAGATTCATAGTTGTAGCAGAGGCAACATTTAGAAGCAGACTGTCTGAGATGTTAAAAACTCTCACCCTCTGTGTTTTGCCCTTGGAGGCCCATGGACCAACAGCAGCTGTGTCACCAAGGGAGTTTGTTAGAAATACAGACTATCAGGCCTCAGACCTACCAAATCAGAGCCTGCATTTTAACAAACTCCACAGGAGACTGGGTGAACCCTGCAGTTAGAGAAATCTGGCTCTACACTCCTCTGTTGTTGTTAGGTGCCGTCAAGTATGACTGACTCATAGTGACTCTCTGAACAGCTGAACCTCATCTTATCCTGTGCCATTAGACTACGCTGTATTTTTTTTTTCATATGAACTTCTTCCCTGATGAACTGCTTTATTCATTTGTTGCCTATTTTTAGATGGGTGGTTTCTCTTTTTTCTTATTGATTTTTAATTTCTTGATTTGTGCTGGATTCTAAACTGTTGTTGTTATGTACTGTTGAACTGGAGCCAACTCATAGATGACCATCCAGTGGGTTTTCAGAAGCAGTTAATCCCATGGGAGGAGACTGCCCATCTTTCTCCCAAGGAGCAACTTCTTGGGAGAAAGGTAGATTTGAACCATGTACTTTTGGGTTGCCAGCTCGACTCCTTACCACTAGGTCACCAGAGCTCCCTACACATCAGAGACATTTGTTACATGGGTTATAAATATCTTCTCCCAGTCTGCGGTTTGTGACCTGTTTGAGGTGACCTGTTGGTTCTTTCCTCTTTTCTAAATCTATTCATCTTCCTTGATGACTCTTTGTTTGACTCTTCTTTGAACCTTTCTTTTACTCATCCCACCTCTGGGTTTACCTTTCTCCTCAAAAGCTCAGAAATTCAAAATTGACCCAATAGCTGTGGGTTTGGATTTGATACTCATTACTTTTTTTAAAAAAATTGTATTTATTTTTTCTTACATTCCTTTTTGTTGAAAAAAAAAACCAACAAAAAACACCACACCTATACAATCAACACTGTTGGTATCAGCAGTCAATAACACAAAAGACATGTTGCATTGGGAAAGCCTGGTGTCAAGGAGCAATGATGTAATTTTAAAGACTGAGGTGTGCCCAGTTCAGGCCATTGTCTTTTCAATCACTTTGCTATGCATCTGAGAGCTGGATAGTAAATATAGATGACAGAAGATGAATCAATGCCTTTAAGTTATGGTGTTAGAGAAAAATGCAGAATACCCAGGGACTATCCAAAGAACAAACAGGTATGTCTTGGAGAAGGGGCAGCCAGTGTGTTCTTTGGAGGCAAGGATGACAAAGGTTGGTCTCACATACTTTGGGCATGTTGTTAGGAGGGACTTGATGCTTGGAAAGATGGAGGGTCAGTGAAGGAGAGGGAGACCCTTAATGAGATGGACTGACTGCAGCTATGGGCTCAAGTACGTCAGAGATGATGAGGAGGCACAGGAGAGGCCACGGTTCAGCTCTGTTTTTCACAGGGTTTCTATGAGTTGTACTTCAACCAGATTGTTGTTGTTGTTGTGCCATCGAGTTGTTTCCGACTCATAGCGACCCTATGCACAACAGCTCTAAACCCTGCTCTATCTTGCGCCAACCGCACTGCCTCTGACACACCCATCCCAATTACCCCAGTCACCGAATCAATCCATCTCATAGAGGGTCTTCCCCTCCTGCGCTGTCCCTCCACCCTCCCAAGCATGATGTCCCTCTCCAAGGACCCATCCCTCCTGGCAACATGTCCAAAGTATGTCAGACGAAGCCCCAGAATCCTTGCCTCCAAGGAGCAGCTTGGTTTAATCCTCTCCAAGATGAATCTGTTTGTTTTCCTGGCAGTCCATGGTACATTCAGTACCCTTCTCCAGCACCACAGCTCAAAAGCATCCACTCTCCTTCTGTCCTCCCTAGTCATTGTCCAACTCTCTGATGCATAACAAGTGATTGCAAATACCATGACCTGTATCAGGCGCACCTTAGTCTCCAGAGAGACACTGTTGCTCCTGAGTACCTTTGAGAGGTCCCTAACAGCAGACTTTCCCATCGCGATACGCTTTTTTATTTCCTGACTGCTGGTACCAAGAGTGTTGACTGTGGAGCCGAGCAAAGTGAATCTGTGAACACTCTCAATCTCTTCGTCATCCATCCTGACGCTGCCAATTGGTCCAGTGGCGAGAATCTTTGTCTTCTTGACGTTGAGCCTTAGTCCATACTGAAGGCTGCAGTCCTTGACCCTTCGCAGCAAGTGCATGAGGTCCTCCTCAGTTTCAGCAAGCAAGGTTGTGTCATCTGCATAATGGAGATTGTTAATAGATCTTCCACCAATCCTGATGCCACAATTCTCCTCATAGAGCCCAGCCTCTCGGATAATCTGCTCTGCATACATGTTGAAAAGGTATGGAGACAGCATGCATCCCTGGCGTACACCCTTCCCTATTTTGAACCATGCAGTGTTACCCTGCTCTGTTCTGACTACTGCCTCTTGGTCCAAGTATAGGTTTTGTATTAGCACAATTAAATGTTCTGGGATTCCCATTCTTCTCAGGGCTCTGGTGGCCTAGTGGCAAAAAAGCTGCACTGCAATCCCACAGGCGTGCGGTTCGAATCCAGCAGATTCTCTGCTGGAGAAGGAAGGACAATCTCCTCCTATACCAGTCAGTCAGATTCAACCAGATAGCATATAATATTTCTTAAAGGACTCCTTGAATGGAAATACTAATGAAAGGTTAAATACTCAACTGTGAGTGAAAAGATTGATCTTTTGAACCCACCTAGAGATGCCTAGGAAGAAAGGCCTGGTGAACTGTTTCCAAAAGGTAATAGACTGAAAACCCTGTGGTTTTACTCTTGACTCCAGGTAGGTTTTCACTCAAGAGGAGATTGCTCATCTTTCTCCCATGGAGCTGCTGGTGGATTCGAACCACACGCCTTTGGTTGGCAGTACAGCTCCTTACCACTAGGACACCAGAGCTCAATGGTTTGGAAGCAATTTCATGGCAATTAACAACAACCTTACCCTTTTTTGCCATTGAGTCAAATCTCCATTTGGCATCCTAGGTGGTTAATTTAAACGAGAGTGGACTGCCACCTCTCTCATGGAGCAGTTGGTGAAATCAAAGTGCCAACCTTTTGATTAGCAGCCCAACAGACAATGCACGACACTGTCAAGGCTCATAACTATATTCCTTATGACCTGTGTCCCCATCTGAGCCTGGTACAGCTAGGGGTGAAGCACTACACATGAGATCAAGCAAACTCCAGTTTGAGTCAAAGGTTTTAACGTTAATTCTATTTAATAATCTGTTTAATGTCTATTTTAAGATGGCAAGTCACACACTCTCCAGGTCTGTTCCTTCACTTGAAGAATGGGGCTAAGATCTCTACCTTCCAGAGTCATAGTGAAGATGAAGTGAGTGCAAAGTGTTCTGTACAAGCTTCTGTGCCCTTTGAGGGGGTGATAACACATCTGGATGCCTTCTCTGTTTCCAATTAGAGAGAAATCTTGAAAAATGGGTCTTTTAAAGTCTAGGACCAGATGTAGGCTGAACACTACTACTAAAACCCAAACCACACCAGGTGCACTTTGGACCATTCTGTCTCATGGACACCCCACGTTTTTTTAAACAGAACTCTGAACAGTTTAGATCTGCATCCTGTTGGAAGTCAAGGACTTCCCATACATTATCACCTGGCTTTACTTCCGATGCGCCACTGAGCAGATTTGAACCACGAATTCTTTGGTTAGTAGCTGACCATTGTCATATATGCACTACCCAGGAAGTCCTAGATAATGGTAGGTGAGCGAGAAAAACAGCCTGGTCCTGGGATTAAGATTCACTTCTAGATTTGCCTGGTGGTGAGGCCCAGGACCTACCTGCCTTGGCTTATCACTCCTTCCTGTAACTTCTACAACCCTGGAGGCTTGACTGGCTGTTTTTCTCTGATAGTCTTTCCTCAACTGTGAAATGGAGATGTCAAACCCTATCCTGACTTCCTAGAGGTGGTTTGTGGGAGTGCTATAAAAGGCTTTGCAAGTATCATAGGGTGGCAGAGGGAGGAAATCAACAAACCAACTCCACTGTGCATTTTCTAAGTAGGCCCTTTTATAAGCAAGCAGAATGTTGTTTAATTGCATATGATCTTATGTTCACCACACTTAAGTATTATAAAAGAAAGTTCCAGGAGTCTCAATAATGACTAGGAAGCTCTGATGGCTTAGTGGTAAGGAATTGCATTGCCAACCTAAAGGCATATGGTTGGAATGCACAACTGTTCCATAGGGTAGGCAATCTCCTCCCCTGTGATTTACTGCCTCTGAAAATTGAGTTGGCTACGACTCATAGCGACCTTATGCCTAACAGCTCTGAATCCTGCTCTATCCTAAGCCAATCTTACCACCTCTGATACACCTACCCTCAAGACCCAAGTTATTTTGTCAGTCCATCTCATCCAGGGTCATCCTTTTCCAAACACTGGTCCCTCTTGGCTACATGACCCAGTTATGTGAGATGGAGTCTCAAAATCCTGTCTCCAAGGAGCAGCTTGTTTTCATCCTCTCTAGGACAGACCTGTTAGTTTTCTTGACAGTTCGTGATGTTTACTACTCTACTCCAGCACCACACTCAAAGGCATCATTTCTTCTTTCATCTTTGGTTATTGTCCAGATCTCTGATGCATAGCAACTAATTGCAAAGACGATGGCCTAGATAAGGTGCACCCATCTCTAGACCGACATACTTGCTCTTCAGTACTCGGGAGAAATCCCTAACAGAAGATTTTCCTAATTCAGCTCATCTTTTGATTTCCTGACTGCTGGTGCCAAGAGTGTTGATTGTGAAACCAAGCAAACTGAAATTGTTAACAATCTCAATTTCTTCTCCATCTATGACGGTGCTGCCAACTGGCCCAATGGTGATAATCTTCGTTTTCTTGATGTTGAGCTCCAATTCATATTGCAAACACTAATCCTTGACATTATCAACAGGTTTTATTAAAATCTCTCATTTCTAATCAGTTGTTGATTTCTTTCCACTCAAGCTTTCAATTATTACTGTCTCAAGATTGTAAGACAAGTATACAAAACACACAAGAAGCCCAATGGTTCAGAGTTGAACAAGCAAACAATAGTAATTTACTCTTAAAATGATAAAGGAAAACTAGAGGATTTCTAAATCAGGGTATTTGTAAACTTAAATGAGAGAGGATTTAATCATCACCAAATTCTTTCTGGATTTATAGCATTTTCTTAAACTATAAATGTATAAGTGATGGGCATATTCACAGTATGTATAACTTTATCATGAATAGAAATCAGATATTTAGATGTCACAGTATAGCTGCAACATAGTTTTAGAACATTAACTAGAAATCACTTTGATATTATGGCAGCTTTAGATCATAATCACTCAAAAATCACAAAAAAACTCAACCATATGGAAATAGTGACACCAGGGAGCTCCAGTGGCAGGCAGTAGTGAAATGTGTTGCTAACTCTATTCTTTTTTTTCCAATGGAACACTTCTTGCTGATCTTCTCTGTATCGTTCCAATTTTAGTATATGTGCTGCCAAAGCGAGCACAATGTGTTGCTAACTCTAAGTTGGTGTCTCGCTGCAGATGGTTGGAATCAACCAGTGGCTACGAGGGAGAAAGACAGGCAATCTCCTTCTGAGCTATTTATAGTTTCAGAAAACCTGCTGGAAGGCCAGTGATGAGTTCTGATTAGACAGCAATGAGTTAGACTCTTTGCTAGAGAGTATTTTTTATTAATAAAACAGCAAATATATAGCCATGTGTAAGTGAAACTCATACTTTCACATATTTTGGGCATGTTTCTAAGGAGGGAGTAGTCCTTGGAGAAGGACATCATGCTTGAAAGAGTGGAAATATGGGAGAGGAAGATAGATGAAATGGGTTGGCACAGTGACTGTGGCAATGGTGGCGGGCGTCAGTAGGACTGGCTCAAGATAGGGCAAGGTTCAGAGCCATTGTTCATGAGTCTTGGTCGATTTGATGGCACATAACACCACCACATACTACTGTCCTGATACAACTAATTTATTAAATCAATTATATTAATAAAATTTTAAAATGGCATATTTTAACATAAAATGTTAAAATATGTTAAAAGAATTTTATAATTTTACTATAATTCATTTTCTTTGCAATCCTTCATATTTAAATTTATAGTCTGTGGGCTTCACCAGACAAGGCCATAAAAGGTCCATGGCATAAATAAAGGGGAAAAACTACAGCTTTAAAGACACAAGTCATTAACATCAGAGAAGAGAGTGCTTACTGGTGAGATACATGACAACTAACCTCAACAATGAGATTTCAGAAAAGGTACAGAAACTGCTGCTTCAGAATGTAATGGCCTTAAGGAGTCAAAAAATCCCCACAATCTAATTTCCCACAAAAATCTGTATTTCTCACCTTCTCAATTTTTATCACTGAATGTATTATCCCTACCCTTATGCACTAGGATTGTGATAAAGGAAATTGAAAGTTCTCGGTGCCGAGTTTGAACTGATCCACAGCAGATTTTCTGAAATAGTAAATCACATGAGTAGAGAGAGATTGTCCACCTTTCTCACAAGGAGTAGCTGGTGGATGTGAACTGCCTACTGATGGGTTGGCAATGCAACTCCTTACCCAATAAGCCAAAAAGTCACTCATGCTTACAGTACCTTCTTCTTGTGTACTGAAGCTGCAGAACCATGCAATAGGAGACTGCCCATCTTTCTCCCATGGAGTAGCTGGTGGATTTGAACTGCATGCCTTTGGGATGCCAGCAGCTCTATCTCACTAAGTCACCATCTCAAAACTCAAATTTATTGCTGTGGAGTCAGAACTAACTCATAATTGCTCCTCCATTGGTTTTCCAAGGCTGTAAATCACATGGGAGGAGACTGTTCATCTTTCTCCCACTAAACCTCTGGTCAATTAATTTATCACTGGCTGCTATAATAGAGTGGATGGCTTTAAAAACCTGAAATTCATTCTCTCACCGTTTAGGAGGCTTGTGGTCTGAACATGTGGCACATGTCTTCTCTGTTTGTATCATTTGCTCTTTTATATCTCAAGAGTTAATTAAGGGAGCTTTGACGGTTAGAGTGGTAAGGAGTCAACCCAAAGCCACGCAGTTCAAATCCACCAGCTATCTGTGGGAGAAAGCTCCCCCCCTTTTTACGAGTGACTATGAACTGTTCTCTACGCTTTAGCATTTTTTTTTCAAATGAAAGAACACCAAACAAAAAACTTCCAAAACTAACTCACCAGAACCCTTAACCTTGTCAATAATAGTCTAGCAATCTTTCTTTCTATGTTTACCAACTTTTTAGACCTTCTTTCTCCAAATGTGGAGCTCTGGTGGCTGAGTGGTAAGGAGTTGTGTTGTTCATTGTTCAAATCCTTCAGCAGCTCCCTGGGAGAAAGATGGGCAATCTCCTCCCATGCCTCTGAAAACCCACTGGAGGGTCAGCTATGAGTTGGTTCAGACTCAAGGGTACACATCTTCCAAATGTTGTTATGTGCCATCGAGTCGCTTACAACTCATAGCGACCCGATGTACAAGAGCCCTAAACCCTGCTCTGTCCTGTGCCAATCACACTGTCTCTGACACACCTACTCCCATTACACCAATCACTGAATCAATCCATCTCATCGAGGGTCCTCCTCTCTTGCGCTGTCCTTCACTCTCCCATACATGATGTTCCTCTCCAAGGACTGGTCCCTCCCTGCAACATGTCGAAAGTATGTCAGACGAAGCGTCAAAATCCTTGCCTCCAAGGAGCAGCCTGATTTCACCCTCTCCAGGACAAACCTGTTTGTTCTCCCAGAAATCCATGGTATATTCAACACTCTTCTCCAGCACCACAGCTCAAAGGCATCAATTCTCTATCATCCCTAGTTACTGTCCAGTTCTCTGACGCATGGTATGTAATTGCGAAGACTATGGCCTGGATCAGGTGCACCTTAGTCTCCAGACTGATGTCGTTCAGTACTCTGGAGAAGTTCCCGACAGCTGATTTTCCCAATGCAATTCGTCTCTCGATTTCCTGGCTGCTGGTACCAAGAGTGTTGACTGTGGAACCAAGCAAACTAAAATTGTTAACTATCTCAATCTCTTCATCATCCATAATGATGCTGCCAATTGGCCCAGTGGTGAGAATCTTTGACAAGTTATTTTAAAATCAAAACCTGTATTTTTGTCTTACTGGTTAGTTGTTTTTTAGACTCAGAGAAAGCTGAACACTGTAAAGTAAGTGTGTGACTTTATTTAAAGAATACTACTACAACTGCCAGCAGTGCCCTTGTGATTAAACAATCAAAGTATCAGTGTGCAAAGTTATTTAACATTTCATGATATAATGACACAAAATCACCTTAAGATTCTGGTGTACTACGTTATGTGATAGCACACTTATTTAAATTTATACTACTGTAACTTAAGGGAATGTTAATAATATTTTTTCAAGTAGAATCTATACCTAGTAATGTATCATAAGAGTATGATTAATATTGTCAAAATAAATTTTCTCTGAAATTATTTTAGACTTGATACATTTTCTAAAAAGAAAAACACAGTTCTTTGGAGAAACCTATATAATCTGCTCAAACTAGCATAAAACATTCTTCTGAGAGAATTATTTTGCTTCAATTTTATCCCCCCAATCATGTTATATAGCAATCAGGTACAGGAACATCTCCTAATTCTTTCTTATGTCATATATGTGTTGAAGATAGAACGTAAAAAGTACAGTAACTCAAATTTCAGCACAAAGTTATTCAAATAAAATTTTAATGACCTCAGTTCAATACAACTGAAAATTAGTATAAAGGGCATGTCTTGCTAAATTCAAATTCTAGATCTATGGGCCATGTTTGGGCAGAAGTATAACCCTACAAACACCCAGTTTATTAACTAAGATGATTGACAACATCATGGAAGGAGGTGGGGAATAAGAATGATCAGATAACAGAATTTTGTTAGGAAAGAAAAAACCCTCAATTACAGTTATACATATTAGTAAAATAAAAATACAATTCCAAATACCCATCTCTTAAATTATTTAAAAAACAAACAAGTTAAGTTAGAGCAAATGCAATCTTTACAGATTTGGGTAACTTTATTTGCATCATAAAGTGATTTTTTTTTTAAGCCTATGTCCAATGAAACAATTTAAAAAGCTCTATCAGGAATGGAAATTTAGATGTCAATTATACTTTTCTTTAAAAAAAAAAAAAAAAAAGAAAAAAAGGTTAAATCTCTGAATGAGCAAGATTCACTTTCGTAGGCAGAGGCCCTGCTTCTTCATGATCTTCAGTCATAGATCGAACAACCACAAGAGAAGAAGCTGGATATCTGTTTAGCTTTTGTTCATTCATAAATTCCAAGTCACCATAGATACTCAACTTCTGCAAAAGAAAATCAATGCTTATTAGCAATTTCGGTTATCAGCAACCTCTAAGTATAAGTCTTCAAATAATTCAATCGAGGGCTATTTGGTAAAAACTTGAACAAACATCATGAGGAATGGAGAATGATTTTACTGTGTTTTAGATATGTGATTACGTAGATGGTCAACACCTAACAACAAGAGTCTCCAGTTTGGGGCAGTTGGGATTCTGATGTTTAATTGTGTTTGGGGAGAAAACTGATAGAAGTGGTACAACACTTGTCTGTCAGTTTGCTCTACTGAGACAACTTGGGGTTGCTGTAACATGGAAAACTGTTTCACTGGTGTGTCAAATGTCGTAAGGGTTACCTGTGGTGGACAGGAATTGGTGGCGGAAAACTAGGAAACAAGGATGAGCTATCAACTTTTTAAGTTAACAGGCCTCTGAAAACCCTATGAACACTAAAGGAATGAGGACAATTGTAGTGTAGTGGTAGAGCCCAGATTGGAAGTCATTTGACATGGTTACTGCCTTCATGGGCTCTTGTGTTTGAGAAGTTTGAGGATGGCACAGGGTAGAACAGGGTTCAGATCTTTTGTTTCTAGGGTCGCTATGAGGCATGCTCAACTTGATGGCACCTAACAACAATAACAAGATGCTCAAAGAAAGGTTTCTAGATATCTCAACTTATTTAGGAGCATTTGAAAAATTGAGTAACAAGAAAAATAGGAGTCCTGATGGTAGAGTGGCGAAGTGCCAACAGTCTGAACCCACCAGACAACCTGCAGGAATAAAATGCTCTGTAAAGATCTGCAGCCTTGGAAATGGTACGGTGTAGTTTTATTCATAAATTTTTAAGTCAAAAGCTTATAGGGTTTTTGTTAGACAAGAAAAACTACTCAGGTTTAAGTGGAGTTAGCAAGGTCATGCTGAATGCACTGATTGTCGATGCTGATTGATGTCCCATGTGATAAATCCTGTAAAAATTGAGCTTTTCTTCTGAGCAGTCAATTGACTTGGTGCAAGTTTCTCTATCATCAAATGCTTTAATTTAAGCTCCTCAAATTGTTACTATAATGTCTAAGACATAAAAATTAAAAAACGAAAAGCAGAAAACAGAATCACTACAAATGTAATTAAATTCATTGCAGTATAATGATAATAACTAATATTTTTTTCAATAAGTCACTTTAAAAGACTTTACTAATAACTGGGGTTGCATTTTTACTAATCAAGTTCTATTATCTTTGGGAGTTCTGGTGGCTTTGTTGTAAGGAATTATGCTGCCAACACAAAGGTATAAGGGTTTGAATCCACAAGCTGCTCTATGGGAGAAATATGGACAATCAATTCCTGTATGATTTATTGCCTCTGGAAACCTGCTGGAGTGTTGGTGATGAGTCTGTTCTGACAAAGCAACTGTCAGAGTTATAAAGAAGTACTTGACAGCAGAAAGTTATTTTCAAAAGATGCTGGGGAAAAAAGTATTTTCAAGAGTTTAAGTGTCTATTAATACTGATACCTGCTACATCACAGATCGGCCTTGGAAAATATCATACCAACTGAAAGAAACACGTCACCAAAACGCATAAATTGCATAATTTGATTTATATTAAGTGTTCAAAACAAGTGTATCTATAGAAAATCAATAAGAGTGCATCTGAATTCCAAAATCAATCTCCATAATAGTCTATGTGTTTCCTACTGCCAAAGGGGCCCTTTAGAGTAGTGAGAGAAGATCTTCACCCTGAAACCCACAGCGTCCCTTTTCAGCAGGAAGTAGCTAAGAGAATACGCCGTCCCCTTTTCCTTATGACTCAGGGTGAAGTCTCTCTCAGGGAGGAGTGATAGGGAATGGCAAAGGATACACTGACAAAGAAGATTAATCAGAACTGGGTTTGACAAGCACTGTGACATTTGGACAAGAACAAACTGGGAGGAGGGTAGAGAGAATAGTGCAACAATGAATGAGTGGAAGCCCAAAATCTCTGTAAATGTTTATGAAAATTAATAAAATATAATTATAGAAAAAAAAAAAAAAAAAAAAAAAAACACAAATGTATCTATAGAAAAAAAAAATTAGTGGCTATCTAGGGTTGGAGGTAGTGGTGATATGTGGGGAAGAAATTGTTAATTAGCTTCAAATAGGTATTGGTCTTCTTCATAGGGTGGTAAACGTTCCAAAAGTAATCGTGGTGATAGTTATCTGTCTCTGACAATATACTAAAATTCAATTGCATGTGAAAGATATTTTAATAAAGTTGATACATATATATATCTCAATACAGAGATTAGAAATCATCTAATTTTTAACATTTCTAATATTTTCCTCTAGCTCATCATGGACACAATACTAATTCCAAATAAAGAATTAAATCATTCCTAAATAGTATGGATAGTATACTATCACTCACAGGATGGATCTTGAAATGGTCATTTTAATTAAGAATGTAACACTATTATTCCTCAAGTTTTCATTCATGGCTTAAGAGACCTTATGATTGATTCCAAGTAGACAATATTCGTCCATCTCAGCTCATTAATGCCTAGAGTATCAACTGTAAGGCATTCCATTTAATTTTTGACAATTTACAGTTTCTCTAGATTCATACTTTGTAAATTCCACGTTCCAGTATTTAATGGATGTCTGCAATTGTTTCTCCTCATTTTGAGTAATTACCAATTTGTGGCTCCACCATGAGTACTATATCTAACAATCTTCCTTTTTTTGTGGTGGTGGAAGAATTTTTTACTTTTCTATCCTTTGCCTTAGGTTTGATCACATGTCCAGGTGAGAATGTCTAAGTCAAATGAATCTTTGAGGCTTCATCCACCACCCTTAGTTCCCCTAGAGTGTGTGTTCTACACTTGTTTGCTGATCAGTGTCTTCAACATCAACAACAGCTGTAAGACCAACATAAGAGAAAGAGCTAATCAGATTGTAGAGTGGCTGTGGCAAGATGTAGCCTTACAGAGCCAAATGGAGCCAGGGCCAGAGTGCTTGAGACACAACTCTCAACATCAGGAAAGCAGCAGCAGAGAAAGGAGTGCACATGCTTTGGGGTCAAAGGTTTTTGTGACAAAGGTATCCTGCTATTGACCCAGAAGCTGTCTCGATTGAGGGACCGCATCTTGCCGTTGGATAAGAAGCTGTCTGAACTGAGGGATTGTGTTTAACGTGGCTTGGGATTGATGTTCACTCATTAAACCTGGACTTTCACTGTGTGATATATTTTGCCTTTCTCATTGCCCAGTGGAGTCTCTCTCCACTCTGGAAGTTGGCTGGTTGACTGGCGGGATGGCTGGCATCTTGATGGCGGCTCGACTTGGTGGCAGTCAAGGCAAGGGAAGTTTCTGGGGTCCTTTTTGCTGTGTGTTACTGTTCTTTTTGACCTTCAAAAGTGGGTGGTGGCCCAGAGCCTTAAATTAAGAAGTAAGGGCAGAGCCTGCAGAGCTTGCTCCAGGCAGTAGCTTAAAATCCCTTGGGCATGCGTCCCTCAGGCCTGTCTTTGTTTTTGGTGAAACATTCTTCTAGTTCATATAGCCCTGGTGTGTCCACTTGCCTACAGAGGTAACTTGTGGCTGCTGTGAAGCTGAACACTGTGACATTGACGTGTCAAATGCGATAATGGTTACCCACAGTGGACAGTGTTTGGTGGCACTCCCTGGTTAAAACAAGCCTGGAAGCAGGAGTGGCATCCACTTCAGTAAATAGGTTGCCTCTGGAAACCCTATGTACCTGGCGCAAGGATGAAAGTCACACAAGTGTCGAGGACTTTCGTTCATAGGGTTGCTATGAGTCGCCTACGACTTAACAGCACTTAACAACAACATCCCCCAATATGTTACCCTAATAAACCCCATAACTGTGAGTAAAAAGATTTCTGCAAAGTGTGTGTGGTCATTTGCAATGAATTTCAGACCCACTAATTAGTAGTATCAAGTGCAGCAGAGTGGAGGGCCAAGTCTGATCTTGTAGCTTTGAGTTTGGTACTGTGGATGTTATTAATGGGGACAGCATCCTCATGCAGTTACTAGAGGTTGGAGTAATTTGTCTTCAAGCTATCTTTTCTCCTTTTACAACTGTTCATAGGATTTTTGAAGGGCTATTATTTCAGAGGCGGACGAACTATTCTGCTTCCTAATCTGTCTTAATCTTGTAGTTCTACTAAAACCTCTCTACTATTTCTGACCCTGCTGGTATATGAAATACAGCTGCACAGCTTCCAGCATCATAGCTATCAAGGACCACTCCAGGATGCTAAGGAGCAATGATGTCAGTTTGAAGACTAAGGTATAGCTGATCCAACCATGGTCTTTTCAATTACTTGCTATGCACCTGAATGATGGACAAAATATAAGGATGACAGAAGAATCGATGACTTAAGAGTTGTGGTGTTACAGAAGAGTACTGAATATCCTATGGACTACCAAACGAACAAACAATATGTCTTAGAGAAAGTGCAACCAGAGTGCTCTTTAGAGGCTGGGGTGGTGAAATTTTATCTCACATAGTTTAGGCATGTTGTTAGAAGGAGCTATTCCATGGAAAAGGCAGAGTATCAGCAAAGGAGAAGACCCTGAAGAATACATAGACAGAGACACAATTACTGTTAACAGTGAGCCTGAGTATATCAGATGATGAGGATGGCACACGATAGGGCAAAGTTCAGATCTGCTGTTCACAAAGTCATTATGAGTTGTAGTTAACTTGATGGCACTTAACACCAAGAGTCTCTTCCAGCCAGTGGCCAGATAACTGTCCTCTGTATTTTCTGGAATAGACTGGTAAGCTCCTCTGCAAGAGATTCATGACTGGAAGAGATTCATATTCCCATTCCAAAGAAAGGTGATACAACAGAATGTGGAAATTATTGAATAATATAACTAATATCACAGGCAAGTAAAATACTGCTGAAGATCATCTCAAAATGGCTAGAACAGTACACTGACAGAGAACTAACTGTCAGAAATTCAAGCTGGTTTAGGAGAGGCCATAGCTCCAGGGATATCACTGC